CGTTAGAGTTGATTTTATTAAGAAATATCGTCCAATTTTGACATTTTGTAATTTATGCTATGTCACTATAAACTGATGATAGATAAATATGAAGTTAATGTGGTTTCTGATTAATTGATCAAATAGGAATCTTTTTTATCGATAACTTCTTTTTCCATCAGCTTCAGTACTTACGTTATATTTAATTTTATTAAGAAAAATCGTCTAATTTTGACGTTTTGGGAATTTATGCTATATCATTAAAAAGCGATAATAGATAAATATCAAATAATTTTGAATTATGATTTATTGATGCATTAGGAATATTTTTTATTCATAACGTCTTTCTCCATCACTTTTAGTACTTATGTTATAGTTGATTGTGTTAAAAAAAATCGTCAAATTCTGACATTTTGAGGTTTTATGCTTCATCATTAGAAAGTGGTGATAGATAAATATGAAATAAGTATGGATTATGATTTCTTGATGCATTAGGAATATTTTTTATTTATAATGACTTTCCTCATCAGCTTTAGTAATTACGTTAGAGTTGATTTTATTAAGAAATATCGTCCAGTTTTGACATTTTGTAATTTATGCTATCTCACTATAAACTGATGATAGATAAATATGAAGTTAATATGGTTTCTGATTAATTGATCAAATAGGAATCTTTTTTATCCATAACTTCTTTTTCCATCAGCTTCAGTACTTACGTTATATTTAATTTTATAAAGAAAAATCGTCCAATTTTGACGTTTTGGGAATTTATGCTATATCATTAAAAAGCGATAATAGATAAATATCTAAATAATTTTGGATTATGATTTATTGATGCATTAGAAATATTCTTTATTCATAACGTCTTTCTCCATCACTTTTGGAACTCATCGTTAGAAAGTATGTAGTGATAAATAAATATGAAATAAGTATGGATTATGATTTCTTGATGCATTAGGAATATTTTTTATTCATAACGACTGCCCCATCAGCTTTAGTGATTACGTTAGAGTTGATTTTATTAAGAAATATCGTCCAATTTTGACATTTTGTAATTTATGCTATCTCACCACAAACTGGTGATAGATAAATATGAACTTAATATGGTTTCTGATTAATTGATCAAATAGGATTCTTTTTCATTCATAACTTCTTTCTCCATCACTTTTAGTATTTACGTTATAGTTGCTTGTGTTAAAAAAATGGTCAAATTCTGACATTTTGGGGTTTTATGCTATATCATTAAAAAGTGTTAATAGATAAATATGAAATAATTCTGGATTGTAATTTATTGATGCATTAGTAATATTTTTTATTCATAACGTCTTTCTATATCACTTTTAGTACTTACGTTATAGTTGATTGTGTTAAAAAAATCATCAAATTCTGACATTTTGAGGTTTTATGCTATATCATTAGAAAGTAGTGATAGATAAATATGAAATAAGTATGGATTATGATTTCTTGATGCATTAGGAATATTTTTTTTACTCATAACGACTTTCCCCATCAGCTATACTAATTACGTTACAGTTGATTTTATTAAAAAATATCGTCCAATTTTGACATTTTGGAGATTTATGCTATATCATTAGAAACTGGTAATAGATAAATATGAAATAATTCTGGTTTCTGATTTATTGATCAAATAGGAATCTTTTTTATTCATAACTTCTTTTTCCATCACTTTTAGTACTTACGTTATAGATTGTGTTAAGAAAATGGCCAAATTCTGACATTTTGGGGTTTTATGCTATATCATTAAAAAGTGATAATAGATAAATGTGAAATAAGTATGGATTATGATTGCTTGATGCATTAGGAATATTTTTTATTCATAACTTCTTTTTCCATCAGCTTCAGTACTTACGTTATAGTTAATTTTATTACGGAAAATCGTCCAATATTGATATTTTGGGAATTTATGCTATATCATTAAAAAGCGATATTAGATAAGTATCAAATAGTTCTGGATTATGATTTATTGATGCATTAGGAATAGTTTTTATTAATAACGTCTTTCTCCATCATTTTTAGTACTTACGTTATAGTTGTATGTTAAAGTATGTTAAAAAAATCGTCAAATTCTGACATTTTGGAGATTATTGCTATTATCACTACAAACTGATGATAGATAAATATGAACATAATATGGATTATGATTTCTTGATGCATTAGAAATATTTGTTATTCATAACGACTTTCTCCATTAGCTTAAGTAATTACGTTACAGTTGATTTTATTAAGAGATATCATCCAATTTTGACATTTTGGAGTTTTATGCTATATTATTAGAAACTGGTGATAGATAAATATGAAATAATTCTGGTTTCTGATTAATTGATCAAATAGGAATCTTTTTTATTCATAACTTCTTTCTCTATAAGTTTCAGTACTTAGGTTATAGTTCATTTTATTAAGAAAAATCGTCCAATTTTGACATTTTGGGAATTTATGCTATATCATTAAAAAGTGATAATAGATAAATATGAAATAATTCTGGATTACGATTTATTGATGCATTCTGAATATTTTTTATTCGTAACGTCTCTCTCTATCAGTTTTAGTAGTTGCGTTATAGTTGATTTTATTAAGAAAAATTGTCAAATTGACATTAATTTATGCTATATCACTAGAAACTGGTGATAGATAAATATGAACTTAATATGGATTATGATTTCTTGATGCATTAGGAATATTTGTTATTCATAACGACTTTCCCCATCAGCTTTACCAATTACGTTAGAGTTGATTTTATTAAGAGATATCGTTCAATTTTGACATTTTGGGAATTTACGTATCATTGAAAAGTGATAATTGATAATAGATAAATATCAAATAATTCTGGATCATGATTTATTGATGCATTAGTAATATTTTTTATTCATAACGTCTTTCTCCATCACTTTTAGTATTTACGTTATAGTTGATTGTTAAAAAAATCGTCAAATTCTGACATTTTGAGGTTTTATACCTCATCATTAGAAAGTGGTGATAAATAAATATGAAATAAGTATGGATTATGATTTCTTGATGCATTAGGAATATTTTTTATTCATAACGACTTCCCCATCAGCTTTAGTAATTACGTTAGAGTTGATTTTATTAAGAAATATCGTCCAATTTTGACATTTTGTAATTTATGCTATCTAACTACCAACTGGTGATAGATAAATATGAACTTAATATGGTTTCTGATTAATTGATCAAATAGGAATCTTTTTCATTCATAACTTCTTTCTCCATCAGTTTCAGTACTTATGTTATAGTTAATTTTATTAAGAAAAATCGTCCAATTTTGTTATTTTGGGAATTTATGCTATATCATTCAAAAGTGATAATAGATAAATATTAAACAATTCTGGATTATGATTTATTGATGCATTAGTAATATTTTTTATTCATAACGTCTTTCTTCATCATTCTTAGTACTTACGTTAAGTTGATTGTGTTAAAAAAATCGTCAAATTCTGACATTTTGAGGTTTTATGCTATATCATTAGAAAGTGGTGATAGATAAATATGAAATAAGTATGGATTGTGATTTCTTGATGCATTAGGAATATTTTTTATTCGTAACGACTTTCCCCATCAGCTTTAGTAATTACGTTACAGTTGATTATATTAAGAAATATCGTCCAATTTTGACATTTTGAGATTTATGCTATATCATTAGAAACTAGTAATAGATAAATATGAAATAATTCTGGAGTATGATTTATTGATGCATTAGGAATATTTTTTATTCATAATATCTTTCTTCATCAGTTTTAGTAGTTACGTTAGAGTTGATTTTATTAAGAAATATCGTCCAATTTTGACATTTTGTAATTTATGCTATCTCACTACAAGCTGGTGATAGATAAATATGAACTTAATATGGTTTCTGCTTAATTGATGAAATAGGAATCTTCTTTATTCATAACATCTTTTTCCATCAGTTCCAGTACTTACGTTATAGTTCATTTTATTACGAAAAATCGTCCAATATTGATATTTTGGGAATTTATGCTATATCATTAAAAAGCGATATTAGATAAGTATCAAATAATTCTGGATTATGGTTTATTGATGCATTAGGAATAGCTTTTATTCATAACGTCTTTCTGCATCATTTTTAGTACTTACGTTATAGTTGATTGTGTTAAAAAAATCGTCAAATTCTGACATTTTGGGGTTTTATGCTATATCACTAAAAAGTGGTAATAGATAAATATGAAATAATTCTGGATTATGATTTATTGATGCATTATGAATATTTTTTATTCATAACGTCTTTCTCTATCAGTTTTAGTAGTTGCGTTATAGTTGATTTTATTAAGAAAAATCGTCAAATTTTGACATTTTAAAATTTATGCTATGTCACTACAAACTGATGATAGATAAATATAAACTTAATATGGATTATGATTTCTTGATATATTAGGAATATTTGTTATTCATAACGTCTTTCTCCATCACTTTTAGTATTTACGTTACTGTTGATTTTATTAAGAGATACCGTCCAATTTTGACATTTTGGAGATTTATGCTATATCATTAGAAACGGGTAATAGATAAATATGAAATAATTCTGATTTCTGATTAATTGATCAAATAGCAATCTTTTTTATTCACAATTTCTTTCCCCATCACTTTTAGTACTTACGTTATAGTTGATTGTGTTAAAAAAATGGTCAAATTCTGACATTTTGGGGTTTCATGCTATATCATTAAAAAGTGATAATAGATAAATACGAAATAGGTATGGATTATGATTTCTTGATGCATTAGGAATATTTTTTATTCATAACGTCTTTCTCCGCCAGTTTTAATATTTCGGTTATAATTGATTTTATTAAAATCATCCTATTTTAACATTTTGAGGAAAAGTAGAGGAAATAAAGGAACGAAGGAACAGTTGTAAAAGTTATTTATAACTGTTACTTTTTAGGAGCAAGAACATATTGTACCTGTTCACCAAAAATTCTACTTTAGAACATTTCTAATATTAAGTAGGATTTTAAATAAATACTTTTTACCTGTCTATATATATTTTCTCTAATATCTGGTTCGTATCTCCTATTTTCTCTTACTTTTCTTGGATCGTATAACGGATACATTTTTGTGTAAGCAAAAAATAAATCGTAAGCGGATTGTTCAGCTTTTTTTTCTTGTTTATTAAAATAAGTGATGTCGTTTACCAAATCAACCTCGAACGTTGGCTAAAAGAATACAATTTTTTCAGCATTTAAACGTATAATACTTTGAAAAATATTTACCGAGAGATTTTCGAATTTTTTTATTCCTAGTTTCATATTTTCCATAGCCGCAACGGGCGTAATAAACGCGGTAGTGACCTTCATTACTCAAACACTTTTGAAATATTAGAAAAAATAAGATAAATAGTAAGTACTTGAAGATCTGTAATTGTCACTAAAATTATTTCATTAATAATAAAAATTGACATAAAATAAAAACAAAACACATTAAAGACTATATACAACATACTATTAATTAGTGTCTTTGGCTTTATTGATCGCTAAAGAGTTGAAAGACAAATCCCCCAGAAATTCTCCGTATTCTCTTTCCGCTTATTTTTTTGGTGTAGTTTGGTCCAGTGCAATACGTTTCTGGTCGATCGATCTAAGCTACGACGACGTTTATCAAAAGCCATTAATCTAAGCGTAGAGCACCAGCTAACGGATTACATGTTGACAAGATTGATCTGGGTTTAGTTCTTTCCCAAATCACCCTCGATACTTTTTTCTTTAACTATACTTTTCAAGAAATCAACTTTACGGCGTTTTATTTCATTTTGTACGTTTAATTTATAATTATAAATTTAGTGTGCTAAAAGCTCAAGTAATAATACCTAAGGGTCAGTTTCATGATGGTACCAGGTAGACGGAAATCCACTATCCAAACGGTGCAGAACGTTGAATAAACCACACGAACATTTTGGGAATTATGGAGAAAGTGAACTCCATACATACGGCGATCCCGATGGAGCAATTGAGGTAATATTGACCTAAGTAACGTCAAGATTTATCTATGAGATTGAGAGAGGTGTTTAAATTAAATGAACTCGCTATTAGTTTTCTTCAAGTAATCACAAGCAACGGATAACAATTTATTTTGTTGTTTAATTTGCTTTTATGCTGGATGTTTTTTTGGATTTAGCAAACATTTAACTTTTGAATCTTCAATTTGTCATAATTCAAGAAATTCCGGGTTTTTGACTTAAAAAGAAAACAATAAATAATAATGTAATGGTAATTATAATTAGGTGGAAGCTAAAGAAATCAGAGATAGGTGTTGTAACTATTTTGACAATGATGGCAGAATGATGTAATAAATAATTAATGAATTATCATTACCTAACTAATTAGAGACTATGCGGTTTTATCTTATCCGGTGACTTTCTAAATATATAGATGAGGCAACATAATTAGATAAGCACTGACTAAGGAAGTTTAACTCTTTAAATGTCCAGAATTTAGAAGTCATTGCTTATATCAGCTTTTTAAGTTACGTCACGTTTATGTGGAGTTGTGTCAGAATATGAATATTGTTAACAATTTGTTTATAAAGCATTTTACACTTACTTATTGTTAAAAGTATTAAAAAATCGCAAGAAATAAAGTACTTGAACAGCTTATCTTCAATGAATAAATCCATGATACTGATTTAGGGAAAGATGTTTATATAGAAATCATATTGCAGACAACAATATAGGTTGAAAATAGTGATGGAAAATAGTGGCCATTATGGTTATAATTTCTGGTACATTTTTGAAGTGATACCCTTTGCCACATTATTGCGATATTTGAATAAAAATGAAATTAATAAGAAAGCTGATAAGATATGTCAACTTATTTGGATCCAAGATACAAAATGAACTTTTTTGATGCTGATTTAAAACATCGAAAACTGCAACATGAAAAATTTTATTAAAACTTCAAATATTATTTTCTCAAAAATTAAATGTTATTTTTCAAAACGTGTTGGTTCATTGGAAAGAGGACACGCTTATTAACACTTTGGGAAATTTTCATACTCATATTCCAAGAACTGGATTTTATACGAATTTTTTAAAAAATCGGCGAAAATTGCAAAATTCGAAAAACTTTCCGATCTTTTCAAAAATTTACTTCTTAAAAACTAACAGCGATTTTTCAAAACGGCTTGTTGCATTAAAAAGAGGATACTTTAATTAATAATTGGTGATATTTCCACAAGGATTCTTCAAGAAATGGATTTTATAGCGAATTTTGCAAGTTATCGATGAAAATTGCAACATCGGAAATTTTATCAAAACTTCAAATATTGTTTTCTCAAAAACTAAAACTTATTTTTCAAAACGGGTTGGTTCATTCGAAAGAAGACACTTTTATTAACACTTTGGGAAATTTTCATACTCATATTCCAAGAACTGGATTTTATACGAAGTTTTAAAACTTAATCGGCGAAAATTGCAAAATTCAAGAAAATTGTCGATCATTTCAAAAATGTATTTCTCAAAAACTAAAAGCGATTTTTCAAAACGGCTTGTTGCATTAAAAAGGGGAAACTTTAATTAATAATTGGTGATATTTCCACAAAGATGTGATATTTCCACAAGGATCTTTCTAGAAATGAATTTTATACCGAATTTTGAAAGTTATCGATGAAAATTGCAACATCGAAAATTTTATCAAAACTTCAAATATTGTTTTCTCAAAAACTAAAAGTTATTTTTCAAAACGGGTTGGTTCATTGGAAAGAGGACACTTTTATTAACACTTTGGGAAATTTTCATACTCATATTCCAAGAACTGGATTTTATACGAATTTTTAAAACTTAATCGGCGAAAATTGCAAAATTCGAAAAAATTGTCGATCATTTCAAAAATTTATTTCTCAAAAACTAAAAGCGATTTTTCAAAACGGCTTGTTGCATTAAAAAGGGGAAACTTTAATTAATAATTGGTGATATTTCCACAAGGGTCCTTCATGAAATGAATTTTATAGCGAATTTTGCAAGTTATCAATAAAAATTGCAACATGGAAAATTTTATCGAAACTTCAAATATTGTTTTCTCAAAAACTAAAAGTTATTTTTCAAAACCTGGTGGTTCATTGGAAAGAGGACACTCTTATTAACAGTTTGGTAAATTTTCATAGTCATATTCCAAGAACTGGATTTTATATGAATTTTTAAAACTTAATCGGCGAAAATTGCAAAATTCGAGAAAATTGTTAATCATTTCAAAATTTTATTTCTCAAAAACTACAAGCGATTTTTCAAAACGGCTTGTTGCATTAAAAAGAGGATACTTTACTTAATAATTGGTAATATTTCCACAAGGACCCTTCAAGAAATGAATATTATAGCGAATTTTGCAAGTTATCGATGAAAACTGCAACATCGAAAATTTTATCAAAATTTGAAATATTGTTTTTTCAAAAACTAAAAGTTATTTTTCAAAACGTGTTGGTTCATTGGAAAGACACACTCTTATTAACACTTTGGGAAATTTTCATACTCATATTCCAAGAAATTAATTTTATACGAATTTTTAAAATTGCAAAATTCGAGAAAATTTTCGATCATTCCAAAAATTTATTTCGATAAAAAGAGGATACTTTAATTAATAATCGCAGCAACAACCAAGCGCGAAATAACAACTGAAACTAGAAGTAATACTAGCACTAGACTTAGAACACGTGCGGGTTTAGCCGTCTTGAAAGACGTACGGCTAAAGCCGAATGTTTCTAGTTCTAGGTCTAGTATTAGTTCTAGGTCTAGTGTGAGTTCTAGTGCTAATGTTAGTTCTAGTAACAGTTTTAGTTTTAGTTTAATATAAATCCAACCCAACCCAACTTGACGCTGAAAAGAAACTGAAACTAGAACTAGAACTGGGGTTGCCATATCTAGCTGGGACCTCTTCCGGACATTCTGAGATGGAGGTGTAGAAATGAAGTAAAAAATTAATTTAAGATAATTAGTTTTTATTTAGAACATAATTACATGGAACTTGTTGCGGCAGAAGTAGTTGGTACACCATATTTTCTGGAAGATTTCACCTCTTTCAGCAAATCTTCTTCACTGGTTGCAGTACTCAAAACATCTGAAATTATTTTAGGTGGCCTGTCTTCGCCATCAAAACATTGTTTTCATGGAATCCAAAGCTTAAGATTTCTTTCAATTGCTGGCATTAACGACAGCTATCTTGCTTTTGAGTGAAATTGAAGAGTCTGATGATTGACTCCGAAGTTAGTATTGGTATTATCTCCACAAAAAGTGAATCATTTATCTAATGGAATTTACAGTTGTCTTAAAGTGTCTAGACAAAACTTTGCAATTGTCTCCGATGTTTCGTTATTCATCGAATCAAACTTCAACAGCTTCTTTTGGATTTCGTCAGATTCAGTAAAGTATTGAACAACTATCTTTTGAGACTTGTGGTTCGGTGCAATCGCTGTAGCTTTGGTCTTGACAACTTTATAAGCTCTGGAGCAGGAACGAGCAATTTCTGGGTATCTTTTTTAATCATGAATGTAAAAATAGGCTTTTATGTTGATACTATCCCGATTCTATTTGTATGATTTTTCGTAGAAAAGTGATGCCTAACATCTGCCTTGGAAAAAACAGAAGTCGTTACTTTAGTACTTGAACCAAGGTGGTCGTAATGTTATTTTGAAAAAATCGGGACAAAATTGGGCCTTGACAAGAAGATCCCGACATAATTAGAACAAACAGTGGACTTAGAATTAGAATCATTCGGGTTTAGCCGTCTTGAAAGACGTCCGGCTAAAGGTCCAGTGCTAGTTTTAGTTCAATAAAAATCCAATTCAACCCAACCCAACCAGACGCTGAATAATAACTGAAACTAGAACTAACACTAGCTCTAGAACTAGTACTATAACTAACACTAGACCTAGAACTAGAAATATTCGGCTTTAGTTGTACGTCTTCCAAAACAGCTAAGAAACATGATTCTAGTTCTAGATAGGGGAAAGGAGGCAAATATCGATCTCTTAAGCACCAACAGCTACAATGATTTTCCATTTATAGTGATCAAGATGAATTTGTGCAGGTTTATGGGAAAATGTCTTACTCAAATAAAATATCTAATGAATATTCACAGACATTATTTTGGTGGCTAATATCGATTGGGTGTTTCTACAAGATATTTATTAAAAACTAATGTAAAGAAAGGAATACAGGAAGCTGTATAAAGAGTATAAACACCATAATGAGCGACACGTCCACCATAATTCGTTGTTTCTTCCAAACTCATTACTTGTACTACACGTTTCATCTTCATTGGAAATCTTCTTTTGTTGGCCTAGACACCGCTTCGTGGCTTCGTCTTCATTTTCTTTCTTTCCAGTTCTTCTTTGACTGGCGTTAAAGTCATAATAATTGAATACTGCATTCTACTAGTTTTACTTCT